TCAAAAGCTATTTTCTCCCGTGCCAGAAAGGCCTGAACATAACCATTACAGAAACAAGGGGTTTATTTTGCAATTTGAAAGCAAATAACTACAGCAACAATAAATGCAGTTAGAAATACTGCAAATACAATTTTCAGCAGAATTTCTGAAACTTGGATAATCTTCTGTATAGCTCACTGTGACATAGCAATATTATACATACTTGAAAAAAAAATTTAACGACTTAACCACCCTGCCATAAGTGCTAATGAATGATTCTTCACTTCCTGCATAGGGACAAGTGAGGCTATGCAGCAAAGAGAGGCCTGAAGCACTTTTTAATCTGGTCACATGGATCCATGAAGCACACCTATTAGTACCACATGTCCTCCAGATTATATTTCAAATTTACTGTTCTGCCTTCATAAATGTCACTCATACAACTTGTGTGCCACTTGTGTGAAGAACTTGAAAGTTCTTCACTTTTAAGATTTTGAAAGATAGACAAAATAAAGACTAGAATTAAAACTAGTATTTTTAAATCAGCATACATCTTAAAAGTTGCAAAGCCTTCATTTTACCTGAGAGTTTAAAAAAAGTCAGACTAGAGCCTGGAATTTTGATGTCTAAACCTCTTATCTTTCTTATCTTTATGTAGAATCCATTAGTTCCACACTGCCATTTCATTCAGTAAAATGATAAAACATCACAATCTGAAGCACAAAAAAGTTTACTACTGAAAAATGCTTTCAAAACTGCTCATATATTAAACAGGAACATTTCTAGACAGTAGAAGTATTTCTAGAAGTATTCGGCAAATCTTATGTGGTTAAGAACACAAATTGTCATTGAGTATTATTGAGTACTCCTTGAGTCAGGGACTCTCAATAACTGACTCGTTGGTGAATAACAAAAAACATTAAAATGTTATCCCACTCCCCCCACAAAACAAATGCAAACAAAAAAGCCTCACAAGTTTCATGAAAATTGCCTGTAAGATGGATCTTATGTAATGCTGTGCCTAAGGGAAAGATTACTACATAGATCCAAAGGCAACCTGTTACACTTGGCCTGGGAACACATCAATCAGCACTCACAGATCACACAGCAGCTTAAATACACCTTTTCCATGCTCCTTGCCCAGCCAGGAGGAGGAGGGTGCAAAGGATAAACTGCTAAGAGGGGTAAAGATAATGCAAGAATAGTAAACCAGGGGTAACTTCTAGGTGACAATACGAAGGCACAAGATAAATTCACAAGAGTGAACAAAAAAAGCTCTTCATACAGATTTACTACTCAAATTTCTGCTCAACAACTTCAAACTGCAAGACCTACCACTGCTTTCTAAATCAAACAAAATCTCATGATGAAACTATTTCAGATGTAAATATATTTCCATAATAACTGTTCCAGTAAACAATATTTAAATTATTTCAGTAAACTAAGTGTTTGTAAGAAAATATCATAATTCAGCAATAACAACATTAGGGAGCTGCAGATGCATCTCCACCACACTCAGCTCAGCTGGTTTATACCCAAATCCATGCATTTGCTTAGGTCCAGCTTCTGTGTTTATAGTTAACTGAACCATTATTTTTTTCTTTTCAAGTCCTGTCAAATATTTCTCAGCATTGCAGCAAGACTAGCAGCTCCAGAGGGCTCTGAAGGAACACATCCATCCTTTCAGCAGAGGTCTCAAGTTAGGGAAAGGCACAAGAAAATGAGCAGCATTCACGTGCTGATAATAGTCTTTGTTCCAACTGTAAATCCAGAGGATCACTCTGCTTGAATGCAGACTATTATTACTCAGCCAGCTGATCTGAGCTTGCTCACAAAACTCACAGACAAACTCCTGCAAAGCAGTGGGAACTTAGCACAATTCCCAGGGAAAAAAACACAACTACTACAGATCAACAAGATACCTGCTAGTCCTAGAGTTACTGCACTGAACTCTCCTGCTGAGCCAAAAATGCCACCTCGGTTATTTATCCTAAGTGTCAGTCTGGGGTTTGCCTTTTCCTTTCTGCGTTTTTAGGGAGGGAAGAGAAGCATCCTGTAACAAAGTACAAAGTCTATCTGCAGGCATGGAAATGGAGGGTTAAAATTCACACTAAATTTCAGAGCATCAATAGTCATCTCTATATTTATTTATTGTATTATAAATATTTATTAAAATTATAAATATGTATTATAAATATTGAATAATTTCCTATAAATTATTTTTTCTGTCAGCGGATACTCTCAAAACACAATAAAATGTTAGAAGTAGAAGTTGCTGAACAGTAGCTCTATTTTGACCACATGCAAGATTTTCCTCTTCATCTGCTTCATTTGTAATTGATATCACTAAAGGAAAAATGAGAGATAATACACAGTGGAGAACGATAAAGAACATGCACAAGGAAATGGGAATTTGATCACTCACGGAATTCAGGCCCTTTTACCACACCCCTTAATTCATTCAAATTTTCTAAAGAGGAAGCAAGAAAAAAAATCCCAAGCCCAGGGGCATGATCTGAATGTTACCAAACCTGCTGACAGCAGGAGAGTCTTTACCCAGTACACTCTCCTACCAGCTTCCTCTGGCTAGACACAGGGTCTGAAAAGGCTGTTAGTTCCATCTCTTCCCTTTTCTCTCTACTCCCTCCCCAGGGAATCTTACTTTACAACACATGGAGTCAGACACCAAGCTCCTCAGGACTTTGGAGACACAGGGAGTCAGCAAAGGTCATGAAGTACTGTACTTAATAAACTACCCCATATAAAATAACACTTAATAGACAAAATATGGTTTTCTAATAGTCACAGAACTTACATTTTAATTCAGAGGTGACCAAAACAACGAATTATTTATTCTTTCAGGATTTCAATATATTAAATCTGAACTGTTTCCAGCTCTTCCTCGGTGTTTCAATATTCCAGTTTACACACTCTAACTCTTCAGCACATCTCCTACCTTTTGCAACACTCTGCTTGTCTGTGTGATCATCTGAAAGGCACAGGATTTTGCTGTGGCTGCCTTCCAAGCAGCAGCAATCATTTGGACCACAATATCAAGCAAGCAACTTGCTGGACTACATGTCACAAAAATAATAAAGCATTCTAACATGCTGCAGCAAGCAGTACACACCAAACAAAATTTTCCAACCCCAGGAATAACAAATGTCACTCTCGGTAGCATTGCTTTCAGGCCCTGGAATTACAGTACAAAATGCACTCTCAACACCCCAAGTTTTCACCCTGTCAGGTCAAGATAAAACTTTGCAAAGATTGAAAACAAGGCACAGTCCTTATTTAAACCACTAAAAACAAAGAGTCCCACTCCTGGTGGTAAAGGGAAGGAGCAAGGACCCACAGACGTGGATTTAACCACGTACAGCAAGAGGACCACGAGAACAATGACAGAGAAAGAAAGTAGCAACCAGCTCTGGAGGGCACAGGGCATAATGACGCTACTTCCAGAAAACCCCTGCAAGTTACTTCTGTTATTTCCTCAACCCCGACAGGCACTTGGATAAAATCAGGATTAGATTTGGACTTCCACTCTATGAAAAATAAGAAACTGTTATCTTAGTGTTCCTTTATGCACCTGGTGATTTTCGAGAAATCTACACCCATACTTAGTCAATTGCACATAAAATCTCAGCTTCTGAAAAAAACAGTAAACGAACAAACCCTACAAACAAGCCCAAACATCCACACCCCCCTTCCACTCGCGTAAGTTAAGAAGAAAGAAAACGTGATTTCTATGAGTCTCAAAAGTCTGATGGAAACCAAAGACCTGAATTTTTTTTCTGTCTTCTTAAGATTTTTAGGCCAATTACATGGTTTTGGGGAACTGACTCACGAGGAGTTTGCTGGGCTGGTTTTAATCTTCGAGGTTAGGTCTAGTCATGCTGAAATACGGGTACTTGTATAGTTACAAAGATTTTGATCTAACATATATTCAAAGTCCATTTCTGGACCAAACCACGTAATTCTCCAAACTTAACAGCAAAACTACCTTAAGAAAATACAAATAAAATTCTAATTGTTACTTAACTGGAACTCCAGCAGGGAAGTCTGATACTTTTTCTGCTAAACACAAGGAAAAATTGTGCAAGTTTCTTAAACTATTTGAAAGGACTAATTAGCAAGGGGCACACAGCACTTTCACACTGTTTTTATGTCCTTTTTCCACCATATTTTCAGTTTTTCAAGTAAACTGTTGCATCCAACATCGAGGAGAGCTACTACATAAGCCATGTTCTTTGAAATGCTTGACTCAGTAGGCTGAAACAGATCTGAATGGTAGAATTCAACCATGTGTGAGAATTCGGTTGTGCCTTTTCACCAGAACCCAGCTAGAATCTTGGTAAAATGAAATGTGCAGCTTTAACGTACAACAGCTTAAGAACTCATCCTTACAGATTCTGAAATTCAGAATTACAGAACTCATTCAAAGATGACTCTGAGCCTCCAAATACTGAACCTCACTTCACACCGTGCATGACTATTACTTGCGCACACGTAATGCAGGAAAGGCTGGTCTCCCGAGTAAACTCGTTTTTGTTTTTTTTCCCTTATGTTTTAAGAGGCTTTCATCACTCGGTTTTCTCCCTCTAGAGCAGAGACCCTGCTGTGGGCGCAGGTAAAACCGTATCCAGAAATGCATTTCCCATCCCGAAGCTCCAGTACACCCCATCTGCGCGCTGCCGCAAGACACAGCCTTGAAGAACCCCGAAAGCACTATCTGAGAAAAATCCGCAGCTTCCGAGCCAAGAGGCCCCGGAGGAAGCCGAGGAGGAGGCAGCGCCCGGCGGGGTCGCTCGGGGCTCTCGGGGAGCGGCGGCGATGGCCGGGGAGCGCCCCCTCCTCCGCGGCCAGGGCCGGGCAACCGGGGAGGCCCGAGGAGCATGGGCGGGGGTCCGGCACAAGTTGGCCGGAGAAACCTGTGGCTGCCGTGACAGCCCCGCGGCCGGGAGCGGGGCGGCGCCCGGGCAGCGGGGGCTGCCGAGGCGGAGACGCGGCCGGCCACTGACCTGTCCTCCGAGTCCATGCGGCTGAGGGGCTCCCCGTCCGAGGACATCTCCAGGCTGCCCCGCCGGCCCCCCGACGTGGCGCTGCCGCAGCTGCTGCCGCCGCCCGTGCCGGGGCCGGTGCCGTATCCCTCGTCGCCGCCGCTGGACACGCTGCTGGAGCTGCTGCCGCCCCCGCCGCGGCCCGGCCCGTCCTCCTGGCTGCCCCGGGGGCCCTTGGGCTCCTCCTTGGCGTCGGCCTCGCTGCCGCCGCCGGGGCTCGGCGAGCGGGTCTCGTCGCTGCAGCAGCCACTGCTCGTGCTGCTGCTGCTGCCCACCAGGCTGCTCTCCTCCTCCTCACCGCCCTCCTCCTCCTCCTCTTCCTCCTCCTCGTCCTCGTCCTCCCCGTCCCCGGCCTGGCTGGCGCTCTCCGGGCTCGGCTCCGACATGCTCTCCGCCTCGCCGTTCAGCAGGAGCAGCGGCTCCGGCTCCGCCGCGGCCGAAGGCGGTGCCGGCGGCGGCGACGACGAGGAGGATCCAGCCCCACCGGCGGCCTCCACCTCCGCCGCCGCCGCCGCCACCTCCGCCTCCTCCTCCTCCTCGGCGGGCGCCGCCTGCCCGGGAAGGCGCCGCTGGGGCTCCGCCATGTCGCTGCAGCGAGCGGCCGCCATGGCGCCTGCGAGTCGCTGCCGCGCGCGCGGGGCCGGCCGCGGGCGGGCGTGCGCGCGGCGGGGGCGTGCGCGCGCGGCCCCGTGCGCGCCCGCGCGCCCGCCGCACGCTCCCGCCGCCGCTTCCTCCCCCCCTCCTTCCTTCGCCCTCCTCGCGCACCCGCACCGCCGGGGAGGGGCGGGGCCCGGCTCGTGCCGCCGCCGCCGCACGCGCTACGGAGCGCGCCGGGGGACAAACAACGCGCGGAGGGCGGAGCGGCGGCGGCCACCGCCGCCCCCGGTGCGAAGGGGCGGTGGCGGGCGCGCTGCGGGATCCCGTCTGGAGTCTGCCGGGGATGCCAGCGTGAATCCCCCAGGGATCCCCGCTGGAGTCTGCCGGGAATCCCGTTCGAAACCCCCGGGCATCCCGGCGACTTGCTGGAATGGCGCGATCCCAGTCCCCGGACTCCATGGACAGCGGGGGAGTGCCGCGGGACGGGCCGGGAGCCGGGAGCCGGGAGCCGGGAGCGAAGCGCTCGCGGTTGCCCCGCCTCGCTCCGGGACAAACCCCGGCGCTAGCAGCAGCACCCCAGAGCCGGGCAGGGACATTCCCGGCTGGCGCTGCAGAAGGAGCGGAGCCGGAGCAGGGTGGCCGCGGAGGAGGGCGGGGCGGCAGCGATCCGGTGGCACCGGGCACTGCGGGCCCCTCACGGGCACTGCGGGCCCCTCACGGGCACTGCGGGCCCCTCACGGGCACTGCGGGTCCCCTCACGGGCACTGCGGGTCCCCTCACGGGCACTGCGGGTCCCCTCACGGGCACTGCGGGTCGCCTCACGGTCTCCGCGGGGGTAAGCGGGACACGGAGCGCCCGGAACGGGGGAGCCGAGGTTCCTCGGGAAGAGCTGCGGCGCGCTGAGGAGCCAGCCGGGCAGGAGTGCCCCGGCACGGCTCGGCAGAGCCAGGAAGGAGACGGGGAAAGGGTTTCAGCGCCACTGGCAGAAAGGAGTGGGAAACACCGCGCTGTGCAGCGAGAATGAACCAGAACTGGCCTGAAACCTCCCTTGGCAGGGAAAAGGCTTCCCGGCTCCCGGGGAGAAGCTGTGTGACCAAAGGGGACTCTGAAGTATCACAAGATGGTTTGGATTGGAAGGATCTTCTCATTCCAAAGCCCTGCCCAGGGACACCTTCCACCAGACCAGGTTGTTCAGAGCCCCTTCCAACCTCACCTTGGACACTTCCAGGGATGGGGCTTCTCTGGGCAACCTCTGCTAGGACCTCACCATCCTCACACAGCAGAATTTCTCCCTAATACCCAATCTAAACCTATGGATGTATAAAACGGGAAAGGGGAAATCTCAGCAGGATGACTGTCAATCACACAGAGGGCTTCAGAACAGTTTGAAAATTAAGGTCATTTAATGATCATGTAAAATGGGATCAAGTTTACTATAAAGTATAAAGTACATAGGATGGGGATTGGCAGTAGAGCAGAAAGGTAGAATCTGAACACAGAGATATAATCAGGTAGTTTGACAAGTTATTGGAGAGATGAGAATCTCTCATACCAATATTACCAATATCTCTCACACCTATTCAATCACAGGTAAATTAGCCAAAGGTAATAAAATTCTGTTCCATGTGAATTTTAAATATCTTGCATCTGTCAGTCCTTACCCAATGCTTACAGAGCTTGCCACATTTAACACAAAAATCATGAAGCCGTGGTCGTTAAGTTTAAAAACAAAGACCCACAGCTCAGTCCAGAAAAGCATTGTGCCTTCTGCACATGAGGAAGATCACCAGCTCAAGTTACAGCAGGCACACCTGGCATGGCCACAGAGATCCTGGATTCCAGGAGAGTTAACTGCGTAGGATTAAAATCTGGAGAAGGTGCTCTGAAAACCTGCATTTACATAGATGGAGATGGCTCCCAGCCCATCAACAGATGTAGCTGTGAGCAGCAACAAGAACAAGCTGTGGTGTAGCAGCCAAAAGAGAGAGGCACAGCACTGAAACAGCAACAGGGGGTTGGGGACTCAACACTGGATTAATCTTTGAAAACAAACCAAGAACATATTTTGCCTGCAGAGGAGCATAAGCAAATTTTGGAAACCAACCACAATGAAAAAGTGATGATAATTCCTCAGATTTCTAGAAGTCAACCTCAGCTAGAAAGTGGAAATACTAAGAATGTTTAAAAAAAAACAAAAACAAAAAAAAAAAACCACGGCGGGGGGGAGACAAAAGCAACAGCTGCAATGCTGTTTCTCATCTGTGTAAGATGTGTATTGCAGGTCTCCTAACTGCAGCAAAATAGCCACCAAACCCTGAGTTTCTGCACCCTGTTCTGCCTTTCCTCCGGGTAACAGCGTGTGCTGTGCTTTGCTCTCCGCGGAGGAAGGCGTGGGGCTCCGGGTGGGTGTTGCAGTTACTCACTGGTCTAATCAAACACGGAGCGTGACGTTTCAAAAACACCCCAGCCTCTGATTCAGCCCAGAAACGGCAGTAGCTGAAATAATTCTTATGTCTCTAGTACCGCTGATGCCCTTCTGCAGTTCTGTGCTGCAGCAAGGGACAGAATCAGGGAGGTATCGAGTCATGAGAAACCAAAAATATATCAAGGACTTCGTAAAAGACGCCTTTCACAAACGATGAATATGAGATAAAGGGGAGAAAAGTTATCACAACTCCATGTACCCTAATGTCAATCGTCCTGATCGGCTCCGCTGAGTGCTCAAGGCAATCAATGTCTTTTTTTTTCCCTTCCCTCCCAGGTCTCTCTGGGTTTCCTGAGGTGCTATGTGCACGCAAAGGCTCCCTGTGTTTGGCACTGAAAGCGAGCAGGGTGATTCGACCTACCACTTTCCGCTCTACTAAGCGGGGCGGTACAGACGCCAGCTCGTTAGGTAATTTGTGTATTCAAAGAGGGTCAGGGAAGGAAACCTCGGGACATTTCTATTGCCTGATGGAAATCACTTGGCATTTAAGCAAGCGCTCAGTACCAACGGGGTCACTGCTGCAGCAGGCAGGCATCAAAGAAAAACTCCGTAGTAATCTCTCAGTATCCTGCTCTCAGGTTTTCAAACACACAAAATTCTGCGTCCAGGTCGTCTCTTGAGTGCTGCAATAAAGTCCTAATCAAGTGCAAGCAGCAGTGATTATTGCTCACTGAGCTTTCTCGGTACAAACCCACACAGCTTACCAAAGCTAGATTTCTTTTTTTCCCCCCAAGGTTTTTTGACTTTTCAAACCTCTTGAAAGAGATCTGTCAGAGAACAGGTGATTCCACAACTTGCAAAAGCAGCTAAATCATTTACATTTGAATGCTGTGATAAAAGCTCAAAGGAGGAGACTCCTGTTAGGAAATCCTTTGGAGAAAAAACCACATCATTCACTTGGGTGGATGTTACACTGTCGTTCACACAAAGGGTCTCTGATGTGCTCAGTCTAGCTTGGTATGATCACCTTACAACGGTGCTTTAAAGCTCAGACATTTGTGCCTGACATTTGAGGAATCAACAAAGTACAAAATAATAAAATACATTTTTAAAAGCCGGCAGATAAACCAGGAGAAGCTTGTTCGCAGGCAAAAGATTCCAAGCAGGACGATTAGTTCAAGAACAAACAACTTGTAGACACAGCAGAGCAGGGAGAAGAAATGAAGATTTTATTCTCTTACCTCAGGAGCACCAGGGTGCAGGGCATTCACACTGACAGCGGGATCAGTAACAAAAACACTCCAGAGAAGTAGTTTCTTCTTTTCTTGATTCACAGCAATCTTGCTGTTTTGTGAGGTTTTCTTGAAGGACACTTAGGTGAGATCACCAGAAGATGTATGTAAGGCAGGTTTCTTGAGGTTTTTTTCCCTAACTTTGATCAGCATTATAGTACTATGTCATAGAGTATGCAAGAAAAACACTTCAAAACAGCAAGAAAGGCCTATATAGAGAGAAGAAAAATTAAATAGACCTGAGGTACAGGAAAGGTGCCATCCAGTCTTACACTTGCTAGGATACCAGGAGAGATTCTGTAAAGCCCAGCATTTGCTCCCTGAGCTCCCTTCTCCAACCCCTGCCTCCCCATGCACCTCTTAAGCGGTGCAGGAAATTCCTGCTGCCTGCACCTCATGACTCACCTTGCTCAGTATTCTGCCTACTCAGCAGCCTCTGGAAACTGCACCCTTCCCTCCTTTCTGCCCCACCCTTCTCCATCCCAGTTCAAGGTCTGGAGGAAGAGGCTGCCATCTGTCATTGCTTCCAGTGAGCAGTGCTGGGTTCTCACCCTTCCCTTCAGACTGGGCTGAAATTGCCTCGTGATGCAATTGTGACCCCACCCTCTCCTGCAGCACCCAGTTAATTCTCCCTTTAAACTCAGCTCCCATGCTCTTTCCTTTTTAAAGCTGCCTTTAATCTTTGTCTGTACTGTCTGCTCAGAAACCATGACTCTGAGAAACTACAAGCCACCCATAGGCTGGGCCAACCAGAAGAAGACTGCAGGGGATGCATGTTGGGAAAGGGTCCCTCTTGTCTCCCCAGGAGTGTTGAGCCCTCTCTGGGATTGTAACTGACTTTGAAAAACTTTTTGCAGCAAAATGAATTCTTGATACTGCTTGGGACCTTCTTCCCGCTCTGCTCTGGCCCTGCTTTGTGTCACGCTGATCTGTTGCCTCTTCTCTGGTGCCAGCGCAGCTGTCCCTGAAATTCCTGCCATGATCTAGACTAGGGAACTGTTTTTAGTGGTAACTAGGAGGAAAAGAAATAAAATGGCATTCTGTTCCTGTTAGGTCATGAAGCTTCAGAAAGCTCCAGACAGCTCAGTCAAATGTAGCTCTCTGGGGATGGGAAAAGAGGAACAAAAAAAGTTAAAAACTGGCTAAGGTGATATGAAGAACCGGGGGTCACTTCAGGAATGGAAAACCCCATTCTGTCATTCTGGAGCTCATCCAGAAGCACATCCTACCATTCACTCTATTTGCATTTGTGGTAAACTCTAGCCAGCCCAGTGGAGATGAGAGCATCTCTGCTTTAAGCCATCTATAAACACCAACAGTG